GGACTGCTGACATCATCACATCTTATCTAGGTCCATTGACCTGCATTAAACATGTGGTGGTGGGACATACCACAGCCAGAGTGGAGAGAAGTGAGAGCTGACCGCTGCAGGACTGAGAGTTAGGGGAGTAAAACAGCTTTATATAAGCCTGCCTTGACAAAATGAGAACTTAAACCTTGCAGTATGGGAGTAGCCCCACTGCATGGGTAACGTTTTTTTCTTTAAAGCTCTAAAAGCCAAAAATGTATTTTTGGATAAAGTGGTGAGAGGTTTTGAACCTCTATCAGGTTTTAATGCTGTGTCTACACAAGAGCAATCATTCTCTCTATTTGTCCTTATCACCACCATCATGAGAACAGGAATAGAGATGAAAATAGGACACCTGTTTTGGTGACAACTGTCTAAGAGGGGATTTCCCTCACTTAAAGGGGTTCTAAACCCTCCGTTTTTTTTTGCCTATATCTACTGCTAGACATAAAAAAAAAAAAAATGCTTTAACAGAGGTTTAAACTTACCTCGTTATCGCTGCGGGAATCAGGAACTGCTCGTGCGGCTGCAAAGGATCTTGGGGCGGGCGCATGCGCAGTTCGGATTCTCGGCTGGGAGACGAGCAGAGACGCAAGGTAAGTGTATGGACGTGTGCACCCGCATGCAAACACCGGTGGATCGGAGGGACAGAGCAGTCAGCGCTGGATCGGAGAGCCGCCGCACCGCTGGAGGGACAGATGAAAACATCAGGAAAGAAGATCGGATTAAGAGACATCATTTAAGGTAAGTGCTGACATTAACATTGGGGGGAGGGAAAAAATTTTTTGACTTTAATGTCACTTTAAGAATCATTTCCTCTAATTTCCTGTTGTGTCTATAGCACTGAAAGTGAAGGGAAATCCAGAAATTCCCCCAATGGGAGCCATATAGTTTAAAACGTTATCTACTCTACATGTTTAAAGAAAAAAAAATGTTTGGCTTTAGATATAGCTTAACTGAGAACTGTTTTTCTGAAACGCATAAATAGATAAGTAAATCTGTTCCAATGAGAAATCTTTAAATTAGGGATTCAGATTCCAGTGTCATTTCACAAGAACTACCAGGGTAGTAGCAGTTGCAGCTGGGAACAAGCTCTGGCGCTCACTGTCCTGAAATCATTAGTCTGTATTGTTTTAGAAAAACTTTCACATGACACGAAATAGAAATGTATCAGTACTTGTATCTGTGAGGACTTGGACCAGTATCAGTATTTGTACTTGAAAAAATGGTATCGGCGCATCCCAAATATATATTTATAAAAAATAAATCATACATTAAAACAGGAAAGCACAAATCCCAGGAGCTCCGTATGTGGCTTAAAAATGACAGCTGCCTTCTAACTTTTGAGTTTTTCTCTAGTCTAGTCATGGAGCTGGAAAAGTATATGTACTTGTGCCGAGTACTGTACTTAGTATTTGAACATCCCTACTTTAAATTTTTGATGGCGTGTTTAAAGTGTCTAGTTTAAAATGTTAGTTAAAAGCCTGCCCTTGCCATACATTGGGGTGTATTCACGAAGCTGCCGAAGGATCTAGCCGTAGCTTCAGCCGATCCTTTGGCCGACCCGAAGCTATGTGAAGCAAGCCGATGTACGGCTGATTTCAGCCGATGTACGGCTGAAATCAGCCATACCAGCCTGAAGTGAATAGCCGAACAGTGTTCGGCTCACTTCACTTCAGGTCGGTCATTCACTCGGCTGCCTACGGCAGCTTAGTGAATAGACCCCATTGTAAGTAAGCCGGGGTAAGTCATGCCCTTCACATTTTGTATTCTTGTCAGGCTTTCTTTTATAAATAATTAGGCATGTGTTAATGCAGTGTGATAATACCATATAGGTGAATTGTGAATAAATTATGCTGCTAACAACTATATGCCCTATGTGAAACCTGTGTGCGTGTGTTGTATAAAGAACAAAGCACACGCATTTTTAATTTGATTAGTTTGTAAAATCACATAAACAAATTTAAAAAATGAATACAAAATTAGGCCTGTTTTGGCGGACCTTATAATGATGGATCAGAGGTAATCAGATGTAAAAAGACATTTATCTACTAAAATCCAACTCCCCATAAACCTACTATGGATCCCTACAGCTCAGTTTTTCCTCGTGTGAAAGGGGCTTTACTGTTGTTGTTATTATTATTACCGGTATTATACAGGTTGCAGGATTTATATAGCGCCAACAGTTTGTGCAGTGCTTTACACTATAAAGAAGACATTACAATCACAATACAATTCAAGACAAGATGCTAAGGAGGGCCCTGCCCTTGAAGGCTTACAATCTAAAAGGGAGAGGGAAGTGATACATGTTCCTTGGCTTTTACATGATTACAGCCCCTTCTTGTGATATGGTGTTTTAAACAAATGTTCTAGATCTTTTATCTTTTTTTGCTATTTATATAAAATCTTTGTTTTACAAATAAACATTTATTGCAGCCATGGATTATATTAAACAATATAAATTATTATAGGTCTTTAAAAGAGCATGCTTTTCGGTCTCTCTATCTGAAACCTCGTAGACCTTTGTCTGTATAGAGCAGGCAAGGAGGAGAAGAGAGGGGATAAGTCACTGCTCCATACTAAAATTTGTATATTTTAGTATGAGCTATTGCACTGTAAACAGGTTTTTTTTAAATTATTATTAAAACAGCTAGTTCCACCTGCTGGCTGGACATGAAAATACAAAATTATGAACATTCAATATTTCATATTTGCTTAAAAGAGAAAACATTTTTGAAACTTTTTTATAGCCCCGGCCTAAATAAAGAAAATATGTACAAAACAATCATATAATTTCTAATTTTCTTGATGTCATGGCACCAACCTGGTCCAAAGAGAATGTCAAGAATTCATTGATAAAAATATTAGGCGTTTATTGAATGGCCAAGCAAGTGTACTGTACTAGGGATTTGAGTTTAAAGGAGAACTATGAGATGAGTGATTTCCACTCACCTAATAGTTCTAGCCGAACTGTGACAATGAGACTGTCACAGGTCGGCTCAGTAGATCGGGAGGTGAGCGAACACATACCAGGTTCGCTCACCTCTCGATCCTGTCACGGCTCTCTGCCGTGACAGGGGCAGGGGCTGGATTCCCCTCTCCCCGCTCCGATCTGCCAGCGCTGACTGGCGGAACGGACGGGGGAGGGTCACTCACGCAGCTGGGCGGATCCCGTCATCTACGTCGGGATCCGCTCCGGCTTCTCAGTATACTGCGAGCTGTAGCTCGCGGTATACTGAGCTTAGGGTAACGGCAGGACGCTAGTTTGTGTCCTCCCGTTACCCTAAGGAGAACTATGGGGAAAAACACTGACCCCATAGTTCTCCTTTAACCCTTCAGCGGTATGCAAATTCCAGTCTGGTACAGTAATTCCCTACATGCAATGAGGTTACACTACATTCAAGGGCTGGAATGTAGTGACAATTAAGACACCAAGTTTGGGGTTAATATGAACATGGCAGTGCTAGACTGGAAACTCGTAAGGAAACTATTTGTTAGGTATTGGGCATTGTTTGATAAACTGGCAAACTTCACTTTGCACATTTTAGTTTATGGAAAAATTCCAAAAACCAAAAGTAGTAACTGCTCATATGCTCGGTTGTCCAATAAATGTATTGCAACCTGAGGTTTGTTAATAATTCTAACCTTAAAAGCTGCTACACTACATTTATTAAAATACATAACTGTAGTGCGTCTAAATAACTAGCACTGGCAAATCTGGGAGGAACTGGCAGCTCCCACTCATCTACTCTGGTATTACTCTGCTTGATTGCTAGCTGTCCTTACATTTTCCTGTCTGTTAGCTATGTTCTTGCTTGTTGAGTGTGCACTTCAGTCAAGTTAACAATCATTTCATTAGGAGTCACTGGCAGAATAAACCAGAGCTGCAACCTGGAAGCATCATGAAAAAAACCCCAAACTTACCTGTGGGGGGTTCTAGATGAAGACCCAGCACTCCACAGACATCAAGCATCAAGGCAGCTCACCCCTACCACTGGTAACACAAAGGATCCACAACAGTCTATGACAAAATACTGTATATACTACCCTTAACATAGAGAATCCTAAATTTGAATTAAGAATTTGCTTTGATTAAATCCCTTAAGACTTCAAAATATTCCCTGGATGCTACTTAACGCAGAAAAAAAGACAAATCAGTGGACCATAAAAGTAAAGCAGTTTATTTTAAAAAAAAATACAAAATAAAATATCAGTAAAATCCACCTAGTTGGCTCCCTGGCAGATTAATGTTTCAATCCGTACTGCCATAGGGATGTGCAATATAGTAAAAGGCACAGCATTGCTTCTTATCGGTCACAAAACTCCTTCAGTGTACTCCCATGCAAGATTCTGGACCAGCAGAAACACTGGGAGCAGTAACTTACATTTTACATTACACATTTGGAACAAAACAAAGACTTTACAGTATACAAAATTCAGATTTGTTTATGGTGACTGTTTAAATCATCTACTAAAGGGCAAGGCATGATGCTGGCTTTTTTTAATTTAATTTAAAAAAAAAAGAGGTGTACTCTTTTTTGTGACAAATGTAATCCTTTTATCTACAAATACTCTATATCCATACAGTGTTCACCATACTGACCAACAATCCCTTCCAAATAAACATAGCTATGTCACAGACTACTAATTAAAGAGATTTTCCACAACTAAAATGTGAAACTCCTGCATGCATGTCCCACAACTAGCTAAGAAGCAGCTCTATGGCTACAACTGCTTGGAGCTTCTCAGCTGTTTCAGGCATAACTCAGCCTTACCTTGGTATCCTAAATAGAGCAAAAGGATGTCTGAGGATGGAGGGCATTGTGGCAAAAAGCAGAGCAAGCCAAAGAGTAGTAGCCTCATAGCTACTTAGGGGTTCATTTTAAAACGCTGATTGTCAGATGTTAAGAGTGGGTGATACCCCTGCCATTCAGGCAGGTGCTCGAAGGTTTTTACCTATCTAGCTGAAGGTGGAAAATCTGTTTAAAATGTTCACCACATGCCTATTTTGAATGGCATTACGACATCCTGAAATAAAACTCCTTAAAAAAATGGACCACGTTAAGATCACAGGAAGGCAAGTCCTGCATGCCTAGCGAAATCTGTAAACAGTCCTTTGATATTCCAGCACCGAGTCCAGTGTGTATTGGGTAAAGCTCAAAATGCTGAAAATGCTTCTATTCACATGAAGGTTCTCACTCTAAGGATGAAGTGTCTTCACCTGCAAAAACAAAAAGACAGATGCTTGCAGATGTTTAAATATGTAACTGTAACATTTTCTAACATGTACCTTTGATTATAATACTGTGAATTTTTGGTGTCTGAATAAAGTCTGAATTATAGTGTATATTTAGTGAGTTCATATTTTGATTTGTTATTGCAGTGTTTACCTTCAAGTAGCTTTTGGTGTGACTTTCACATTTTTTACATCTATTTATGATATGTATTAAATATAGAGATTTGTAGATTAACCACTAGAGTGAGCAAACGTTCAATTTGCAATCACTTTGTCTCTATTCCTAACAAAGCCGAGATATCATCCACACTGTACATTATTTTCAATTGGCTGACTCATAGACTTGCAGGGGGCTAGATTATGTGAGTGGGAGTAACAGTAAAGCAAGCCTGCTTATGTATTAGGAAAATATGGCTGCCTCCATTTACATGTATAATTACAAACTATACATAGAATAAAAGGTTTGTAAATACATTAACCCTTTCGCTGACAAGGCCTTTTTTGGCAAGGGGTTTTTGCAGACGTTATAATCCACATTTTAGGCCTGAAAATTACTTCAAGCACCCAAACATTATATATTTTCTGAAAGCAAAGACCCTGTAGAATAAATAGTGGCAGTTGCACGATATTAGCGCAACTATTTATCAAACCCAAAAATGTAGCAAAAAAAAGTGAACTTACGTTAATTTTAGTGGCCAAAAACAATTATTAAAATCTAACAGATGAGGTTTACGACAAGTAAAAAGATACCCAACATGCTCAGGTTAAAAATAGAGTGCGTCCGTGAAATGGTGACAAAATATTGTACACCAGATTGTGCATAGGTAACTTGTGCCCGTGAAATGGCGACAAAATATGGTACACCAGATTGTGCATAGGCAACTTGTGGCCGTGAAATGGCGACAAAATATGGTATTCCAAATTGTCCATAGGTGACGCTTTAAAAGCCCATATAGGTCATCAGTTTAGAGATATCCGTGAAAACTGGCTTAGAATTATTGCTCTCACTCTAGTGCACACGGTGTTAACTAACATGTGTAGTGCAATTGCAGTTTTTGTTCATAGGCGCACCCGACATGTGTTTTGCGTTACTACGCTTGCACTCGGGGGGAGCAGGGGAGTTTTTTTTTACACTTATTTTTTTTTACTTAACCTAATTGCTATCACATAAGGGGGCTTACAAGCCCTCTATGTGATAGCATACCTAGTGGGTGACAGGTACTCTAAGGTGACATTAGGGGTCAATTAGATCTCTATTGTCACCTTTCCACTCCAAATAAGCTAATGGAATGCAGATTGCACTCTAATAGCTCATTACCGGCTTCTGCAACAAAGCAATGACAGCTAAGAGACTGGAAGTAGTGGACAGCAGGGAGGAAGGAGATCGATGAATGAATGCCCAACATGCCGGTCCCGGGCCCCCCAGACGGGGCAGCGGATCCTAGGAAACAAGGCGGGGGGCACACCGTACTGCCCCCCTGGAAGCGATCTGGTGGTACCTCAGCCGCCTAGATCGCTTCCAGTGTAAAGCTGACAGTCAGCTTTACACATGAAAACAGAGTATGTTTAAAGGGGCCTCCTTCACATGTCGGTGGCAGCGAAAGAGTTAAAGCCCAACTCTGGGCACAGCTATTTTTATGTCTGTTTATGGAAGGACTGGTGAAATCCCAGGAGCCAGGTAGCCAATGCACAATAAAAATTACAGCTGGCACCTAAATTATTAGGGTTTCTTTAGTTGTCAATGGAACTGGCTTCTAAAACTCCTGCTGGCTCCCAGATTGGACACACTGGCTCCTGAATTCCATATGATTTTGTTCACTCCTGGTTTATGTTTAATGTACACAATACCATCGTTGTGTTTTTACTACTTTAGGGGCTCTCTAAGCTCTGCCAAAAGCTCCTGTTATATACAGTGGGTGCCGCACTACCAACTCCCCACTGCATCAGAACGGCATCTATGAACGACACCAGTTTTGGTGTTTTGCCCTCACCCCACACATTCTGCCTTTCACAAAGCATAGCACAAACATCTTCACTGATTTGTGATTTGTTAATGGCACAGAGGCACAGCATTGGAACTGGCATCATTCATAGATGTAGCAGGGAGCTGGAAGTGTGGCTACCTTCTCTATACAACAGGAGCTTTTAGTAGAGCTTAGAGAGCTCCTGAACTAGTATAAACATGAGCTGTGCAGGGTCGTTAGCATGTCACTGGTGGGCCAGTGCCGAGGGCAGTAGCGTTACATGGGGCAGCAACAAGCCTCAATATTTATCATCTCTTTATGGTTCACCCTAGCAGAATTTGTTTACTACAATAATCACAAGACATTAGATGTGGAGCCTGTACAAAAAGGCCTCATCATTAGGATGTATGTAGGACAGCATGGTGTCTAAGTATGGACCTGCTTCCAATATGCATTTGCTCTCAGTTACAGAGTGTGTGTGTATTTTAATCATTTCTTCAAAAACACTTTCTCTGAAACATATTTGAATATCACTGACAAATAAATATGTTTTAAAATAGTTCCAGTCAAAGCATATTATCTGCTTTTTGTGTTATGGGCAGAGTTAATTCCCCTGAAAGGACTTAACTACTGCCTAGGACACCCCCACTCCAATATGCCTGTGACAGGTACACCCTTTGATTTTCAACCAAAATACAGTTGCCGGCAGTCTAACAGAATTCTTTATATATTCCTACAGAGAAACCATTAAAGATTAGTAATACAGCACTTCTGTGCCATTACTCTTTAGTGGATTCTTAGGAACAGAAAAATTATTAATTAAAAGGAGAACTATGGGATCAGGGCTTTTCCCCACAGTTCTCCTAAGGGTAACATGAGGACACAAACTGGCGTCCTCCCATCACCCAAAGCTCAGTATACCGCGAGCTACAGCCCGCGGTGTACTGAGACGCCGTAGCCGGGACATATCCCGACATTACTGTCTGGATCCACCCAGCTGCATGAGTGACAGCTGGCTCTGCCTATCTAGAGGCAGAGCTAGCTGTACCTGCCCCCTCCCCCGTCCGTTCCGCCAGTCAGCGCTGGAGGAACGGACAGGGGAGGGGGTGAGCGATCTATTGAGCCGACCTGTGACAGTTTCATTGTCACAGGTCGGCTAGAACTATGAGGCTGAGTGCTTTTCACTCGCCTCATAGTTCTCCTTTAACAGTGACAACTTTAGTTCAGTTGAAATACCTGGCTCAGTTTGTCACAATCATACTGGTGAACATCTTCCTACCAAGGTCATGGACAGCAGAAAAAAAAACTCACCAGCGGTTCTATTCTTGCCCTACTCCACCCAGACTGGAGAAATATGATTTGCTTTTTTTTTTTTAAGTACATGTACATGCATAGGGCATAATTGTCATGAAAATAACTTTGTTGTGCACCCTTTGTCATTAGCTTCTTCTGCATATGTGCAAAAATCTCCATCCATTCCTAAGAAATTGCCATCTACTATGCACCCTCTATGGACAACCTCTCCATAGGAATGAATAGAAATTTCTCAAGCATGCACAAAAGGAGCTGCCCATTCGTAAGACTTTGCAGCAGCGACTGTGCAGCTCCCAGAAGACTGCACAGCAAAGAACTGGCAGGAGCGAGGATATGCGAGTATAACCCTTTTTTCAGTTAACCACTTGTGTCTCCAGACCTTTTTTTCCCTAAATCCCCGAGCCGCAGTTTTTTTTCATTACAGCAACGTCTCGGTTCTGCATGTTATATATTGTTTAGGTTTTGTAGTCTACCCTAATGTATTATACAATGGGTTTTTTGGGGGACAGATAGAACTTTATCCATCAATACATATATTTTTTATTGTGTATAAAAAGTAAAAGAATGAGAAGAAAATATTAAGCAAACTCTGCTGATTAAAATTACATTAAACATTACATAATACCACAATAGTGTGACTTTTATGTAATGTAGCGGAATGGTAAAGCTCAAAGTGAACATATGTATTTTCATTTAGGATAGCTTTATTCCCCTTTCAATACTACATTGGACACCAAGAAAAGAAAAGTCTGTGCAAATTGTTAGCATAATATTAGGATAAGATTAAGTCGGGTTGTCAAGGCACAAATTAGGAAGACGCAACTTTTTCCCAGGTTTGCCATCGCTAAAAATTTGAATGATATTGCATTCACTCATGAGCATTTTGTGCTTGTGCAGTAAATGTTGACCAGATCATCCATTGTCACTGTTGTGACCTTGGAAGTGTTCTGGTGAGGGAAATATTAGGGATGCACCGATGCCGGTTTTTTTTTTGGTATCGAGTAAGAGTACCGATATTTGTTTTCTCTGTACTTTCCAATACTGAATACCAATACCAGCGCTGTGTGTCCAGATTATCAGGAAGCCAGTGGATCATGACCTGCCGCCCGGCTTCCTGATTGCCTGGGAAGCCAGTGTTCAATCAAATGAACATTAGCGTCACTTCCTGAGGCTGCCTGGCTTCCTGACGAAACAGGAAGCCGGGCGGCAGTTCATGAGGTGCCGCCCAGATTCCTGATTGGTCATGGAGCTGGGCTGCCTAGCAACAAGTGAAGCCAGCTTCCTAGCCAATCAAGAAGCGGGGCAGTACTTCATGACCTACCTTCCAGATTGGCTTTCACTTGTTACTAGGCAGCCTGGCTTCCTGACCAATCAGGAAGCTGGGAGGCAGGTCTTGACTGGCCGCCCGGCTTCCTGATTGGTTTGGAAGCTAAGCTGCCTAGAAACAAGTGAAGCTGGCTTCCTGGTCAATCACGAAGCCGGCTCCATGCCCCCTCGGCACTGCCAGTACGTGGGAGATCTCCCTCGAACCGGAAGTCCCAGTATCAGAGGTACGTGTCTGTGCATTTGGGCAAGTACTTGTCCAAATACTCTGTATTGGTGACGATACCACCATAGCAACCGATGCGGTCTCTATATGGGGCCCGCGGCACTAGGGGGGCCCGGATCCCCGCTGCTCTCCCCCGCTTGTATGGGCTGAGGCAGCGGGGATCCGAAAAAAATGGACAGCGGAGGAGCCGCTGCCGTCCTGAAACTGACAGGAGGACACAGCTCTGCTCTCCTTCCCGCCTGCCGCTCGATCACCGTGATCGATCGGCAGGCAGGGAGGAGAGTGGAGCCGCTGTCCTCCTGTCAGTTTCAGAATGGCTGCGGCTCTGTGTGTGGCCGAGCGGAGGATCGGTAAGTATCATTGATATTTGCCGATCCTCCGTGTGCAGCACAAACACTGCAGTGATCGTATGAGGCTTTTCCCCATTGAGAATCTGCTTGATAGTAAATATCTTACTATCAGCAGTTTGTGAATGAATGGGAAGCCTCTGTACTGAGTGCTTCCCATTCACTGAGTGCAGAAAAAGACATTGAGGACTGTGTCTTTTTCTATTTCTAAAGGGAAATGGCAGAGGCCTGTTTAGACCCCTAATATTTCCCAAAAGCAAAATAATAATAAATAATTAAAAAATAAATTAAAAATGTGTAAATAAAAAAAAAAGCACCCCCCCCCCTACACACACACACACATAACATACACGTGCACCATATTGTGGCGTACACCAGGCACATGCGCTGCAGTGCGTTGTTAGAACACATAGCAGTGCATGATTTTTTTTCTTTTGTAAAAAAACATTAATTTAACTGGCAGCGCATGGCAAAGCTTTGTGACGCATTGCCGTGTGTTGTGATACCTTCTGTTGTGATTAAATATACGCCTGTATAATTTTATCACAACACTAACACAGCGCAAAAAACACTTATAACATGAATCGCTTATTTACAGTTTAGCGTTCCAGGGCAGAAGCGTTTCACCATGGTTTCCGCACGATTTTTGAAAGAGCATTTTTTGCTGCTTTTAGTCGCGTTTCAGCGCTGAAACGCAATTAAAAACGCTTAAAAACGTGCTGATCAGCGTATTTCTATTAAAATGGGGGTGGGCCTTAAAATTTTTTGCTATGGGGCCCTGGGATTTCTAGTTACGTAGTTACGCCCCTGTCAACGTTCCTGAAATATTTACATATTTATGTATAAATTGTATAAAAATTACAATCACACACACACAATTGATAATCTGTAGTCAGTGTTTTACAGTTTGTTTTCTTTCTAAAGCATCTACACCCTGAGAAAAAAAGCCTGTCCCCTGCCAGCAGCTGCAGACTGGGACTCTTGCCCTCTGTGTAGAAGCAGTGGTCTCTCTCTGCAGAGGTCCAACACATACCCTGGTGAGTCAAAGCCAAAGCTCTCCAAACAGCAGGGAGCATGAGCTTTGTTGATTGCGCAGCTATAGGTCTGGCGCAGTAGGGGGTTGCACTGGACCTTTGCAGAGAGACCGTTGCTTCCTCATAGAGAGCAAGGGTCTCACTCTGTAGTAGCTGAAAGGGACAGGCTTTTCTACTTAGGCTGTAGATGCTTTAGAAAGAAAGCAAAGAATAAAGCTGGCCGTACACCTTACAATTATCTGCAGATTTTCTATGGTCAGATGGAAAAATTGCAACAGATTCCTCCATCTATGATAAACTGTGTGGATGGAGGAATCTCCCGCTGGGCCAAGCTTCAGTATCTTCCTAGTCGGCCCCGCTGGCTCTCAAAACACCTGAACAATGCCTTCATCCAATCAGAATGTTCAGGTATTTTGTGAGCCAGCAGGGCAGACTAACAAGATACTGAAGCTTGGCCCAGTGGGAGATTCCTCCATCCACACAGTTTAGCGTAGATGGAGGAATCTGTTGCACTTTTCCCATCTGACTACAGAAAATCTGCAGATAATTGTAAGGTGTATGGGCACCTTTGACCTGGCCACACACCTTACAATTTATCTGCAGATTTTCTGTGGTCAGATGGAAAAAGTGCAACAGATTCCTCTATCTGCGCTTAACTGTGTGGATGGAGTAATCTCCACCTGGGCCAATCTGTTGCACTTTTTCCATCTGACCACAGAAAATCTGCAGATAAATTGTAAGGTGTATGGGCACCTTTAGACAGAGAACACTTTTTGTTTTGATGCACCTGGAATGTATTTAGCTGATTTAACTATTTGCCTATGGTTGTATGTCTTTAAATGGCAGAGTGGTGGCAGTTGTTACTGCTCTGCTGTTTATAAATGGCACAGCAGACATAACCATTAGATGGCCACTGAGCTGCCCGAGGAAAATTGTTCTTTTTTTTGTCTTTACATAGTAAATTTAAAAAAAACAAAAAAAAAACACAAGGAGTTATTAAATACTACCAAAAGAAATCTCTGTCTATAAAGTTCATTTGAGTACAGTGTTGCATGATCGGGTATTTGTCAAACAATCACAGCACTGAAAACTGAAAAATGGCCTGGTAATGAAATGGTATTACAAATTAAAACTGAAATGGTTAAACTAGGCTTTAAATGTGATTATTTGGCAGTTGTAAATCCCGAAAACCTTTCAAAATCAGTGATGTGACTGTTATATTCATATTTCTTTCTTGGCAAGCATGGCTCAGCCTGCTACAAAAACTTCATATAAAAATAATGATTTTACCATCTTACCTTCTGCTGAGCTGGCCTTTAGGGGCTGCATAGCTGTAAGATATAGAAATAAAAGCAATTAAGAGAAGACAGGAAAATACCAATATGACTAATCCGATAGCAGTGTACAGAGGTCAGTGAAAGAGGAGTTTAACTCATGGCATGATGGGTAATGAACTTTGTAGATTGCACATGGGTTAACTCAAAGAAAGGTACAAAGCAAAAAAAGTATATGAAAAAAGGAATTTAGAAAATAGAATTGCCTGAACTAAGAAGTGGAAGGCTATAAAATAATGTTGAAGACAAATGTATCTTTAATGGAGAAATTAAATTCATACATCTAATCATAATTATACCTGTCTTCAATTCTCCATTTTCTTCTTGTTCCATGTTTCCTGCTTAGAAGGAAGGAAATGGAATATTCAGTGGCAGGTTAGTGTTTGGGCTGGCTTGATGTCCCTAAAAAGGTTCCAGCCCAGCTATCAGCTTCATGTATCTCCCTCCAAACACATAATCTATCGTCACCTCCTGTATGGAAAAGTACAACTGACAAATCCTGTGCTTATTACCTGCTTCCTCTTGTTCTTGCTCTTCCTCACAGGTCTGCTTTAGCTGTTTTCGACATACACAGGCAAGTGCCACAAGGAGACCCAGGAGACAGACACAAAGCCCTACTGTCACCCACAAAGCCCCAGGTGGAAATGAGAGGTGCTGCCCTGTAGATGTAACATGGAAAATGTAAATGGATGGAAAGATACTGTAGATAGATAGATAGATAGATAGATAGATAGATAGATAGATAGATAGATAGGATAGAATATTTATACGTGCAAAAAATGTTTAGGTTACTGCATCAATCAGACCAATATGCAAGACCTCATAGAACTTAGATTTCTCCTCATTTTCTGCTTTGTTACTATGATTGGAAATTTCTCCAGCAGAGACAGCAATAACACCTAAAGGGTTACACCGCTCCTCCACAGCACACAAGCAGGGGAACACCAGGTTCTCACCAGCTGGAGCTCGTCCTCACTCAAACAATAGCTGCTGTCAAAACAATAAAACATCTGGCCGCACTCCACGTGTCCTTAGAAACCTCTTTTAAGTAATTTCACAGTTGCCAAAAGTCCTGCCCCACCAACGCATTTCACCCAATCCTGGGCTTAATCGTAGAGTTAGGTACTCTACGATTAAGCCCTGGAAACTCAGAGGGGCGGTACTTTGTGTAACTGTGTGAATACAATTTTTTAAAAGGTTTCCGGCGACACATGGAGTGCGGCCGGATGTTTTATTATTTTGACGACAGCAATAACACCTGTCAGACCTTCCAAACCTTCCCTACAGTATCCATATCTAAAAAAAGAGATTGGGTGGAGTTCCTCTTTGAGAAAGCTGCTGGAGAGATAAAAATATTTCAGCTTTGTGTCAGTCCGTGATAAACAATATTCATCAAATGGAGAATGTTTGTGCATTAAAACACTCTAGAAAATGTTAGAATTGCAATACACAGTTAACATCTGAGTCTCAATAAGTCTACAGGCCTGGATATCTTCCACACTGGCTCACTGTACATTCCACACTCACCTGTCACACTCATAGAGGCATGAGTCACCATCTGCAGGACAGGATTGTATACGGAGCAAGTGTATGTGTCACTGGTCTCCAAGATGACTCGGAGAGAGCTCTGAACATGAAACAAGCCTTCTTCATTGGCCATTTGGGATGTTGTAATGTTTTCCGTCAGGTTTTGCCCTTTTCCATCCTGCCATAGTATTTCAGCTTCTGGGTACCCGCGATAGGTGTGACATGTCACTGTTACCTGATCACCAGGTTTAAGGCCCTCGCTAGGTTCCAGGTGCAAAATGGGCTTTGTGAAGGAGGCTGTTCAGAGAAGAAGTGCATCTTTCCTTTATTACGTTACATAACAAAGCAGATGCTGGCTTTACACTGCAAAACTACACTTACCTGCCACCTGCAGACTCACAGCAGCCGAACTGAAGTTGCCAACATTAACAAAGCATGTATAGGCACCTTCGTCAGAGAGACGGACCTTGCGGAGAAAAAGGGACATGTTGCCTTTTGGCAGTTCACTAAGAAAGAGCTGTGTACGATTAACAAAGTTTGCTTCCTGGTTGTCTAACTGCTCCTCTCCCAGGGTAAAAGCATGAACCTGCTGTAAGCTTGTTAACTTCCAAAACAGGCTGAGATTCTGCACTGAGAAGCCAGCCGGGGGAGTGAACCAGCAGGGGAGGATGACATCTTCATCCAGGATTCCAGTGACAGGAAGATCAGGGACACGTACTTCAATGGCTCCTGGAGAGATGTGCAGGAAGGATAAAAGGAAAGAGGAAAGAAATATTAACGGTTTCTTTACATGAATTAAACATTAAACATTTTCATCACTGTAAACTGAATAATTAATCTTCTACATATATAATGCATTTATTAAATCAACACCACTAAATTAACAAAACTGCATTATTTAAAGAGGAAGTAAACCCAACTAGTGATTACTTCAAAACATCTGAACTACATATTTAAAGTGGACCTTTAAACTCAAAAATCAAATTCTACCAATGCGTCACTCTATGTATGATGATTATTAATAACATAGACATGTCAGGTGTAAAATGCTGCGATTATGAAATACTTATACTTGCAGAGCATTCACTTCCTGCTTTGAAAGGGCAAAATGATTTCAATTTGCCAACGCAATGCACACTGGGATTGCCTTGTCATCAGTAGAGCATTGCTGGGAAATCGTATCTGTAATCTCACAAGATCTCAGGGAAAGGCATTTTCCTCCCGTGAAATGATGTGCATGGTCACATGTCCTAGTCACATGTCTAGTCTCATGTGCCAGAAATCCAGGACGTATAAGGAGAGCTAGTAATCTGCCCTTAGTAAACAGTGCCACTGTCAGCAGACTGGCACTGTTAAATAAAAGTATGCAAAGAATACAAAGTCGGCAATTATCTAGAAGTATGTGTTTGTAGATTGTCATTACTAAACATTTCTAAAGGTGTGTTTGTTGTTCTTTAAAAGATATGGGTAAAGGTCCGCTTTAAGTCTCAATAACCGTGTTGCAATGGCCAGTTGTAAAAAAAACACTTTGCTCACCTTGCTGAACACTGCAGGACCACCCCATTCCCCAACCGCTGAAGCCGATGCCATTTAGGAGTAATTTCCACACTGACTTCTATGTTCCCCTCCACCAACATCACTCTCCAACCCTATACATGTGTCTCACAAGTCACAGCAGTGATGGAAGCAGCAGTTGTTGTTTTTTGGTATGCCGTGAAAAAATGATCCGGCAGGAGATCTGAAGACTTATGACACCGCTCACAGATAACGGCAATGTGGCTTATACTTTGCATTTACCAGTGATGTCATTATGAGAAAATAAAGAAAAAACAAGGAAATGGAATTGATTTGAATGACCTCACAGCTATCGATGGACACTATTTTATGGCCATTTTCAGATAGGAAAAGGTTTATTGGTGAGTTTACTTTCACTTTAATGTACATCTAAAGCAAACTGTGCTGATGGTGGGAGATGGGAAATGTGTAAACTGTGCTGCAAGTAGGAGGAGGAGGTATATACACTGTGCTGGAGATGGGAGGGATGAGGTGTCTATAGTGTGCTAGTGAAAGGAGGGACAATGTATATATGCTGTACTGGAGGTGGCAGATGTATATACTGTACTGGTGATGGGAGAAGGGAGGTATATATACTGTGTTGACTAACGTTATTAGTAAAGTATTGTATGTGTATTGTATTGTGTGTTGCCATAACATTCAAAGTTTATTGCGCCCCGATGCATATCTAAAGTACACAGCCCTTTTTCCTGGCTATAAAATGTGTACAGGTGGGATGGGGGGAAGAAAGTCCAAGTGCTTCCAGAAGGGAAGGGTCAGGGTTTTTTGCCATCTGTGTCTCATTGAGGAGATTTCCCTTTTCTTCCTGTCCTGTACACACAACTGGAAGTAGGAAGAAATATTTCCAAAATGAGGAAAATCCTCTCTTAGACATTTGTCCCTGGAGATTGTATCTCCATTGAAAGATTTCTTCTCTAATCATGTTCTGGTGACAACTCAAAATGTTGGTTTTTCCTTCTCTTTCAGTCCCAATGACATTGGTGTCCAGGACAAGTAGAGAGAGGGACTCCCCCAGCGTAGACACACAGTAACTAAATCTGACAAGGGGTTCTAACCCCTCACCATTCCATCCAAAGCAGAAAAAAGGCTTAGCTTTAGATACTCTTTAAAGTAAACCTTGCCTGTAAGAGGCATGGAGGCTGCCATTTCTGGCCTCCTTTTGAAAGTTAGTTGCCTGGCTGTTATGTTAACTCTGTGTTTTTAAAGAATTACTCTGGACAAATCAAATCCTAACCCTTGGAGTGGGGCTACCCCTCCACTGCAAGGGTTAAATGCTGATTTTGCCTAGGAAGCTAAAATAACAGATATACTCACCTGAACCGCAACCCCAGCTGGCTCCTGGACCGGTTCCTTCAGTCGTGCTCCCCCTCCGCTTCGGTGTCTAAGGTCCTGTTAGTCATCACGTCCTATACAGTGTATATGACGTGAGAATGCCGATGGACATTTTATCGCCAGAGCAGAGGAGGAGCGAGGCTGAAGGGACTTGTCTTGGAGCCAGCTGGGATCGTGGTTCAAATGCTAGGCAAAATGAGCAGTTAACCCTTGCAGTGTTCATGTCACTGAGCTGTCCACCCCCCTATCACTGAGCTGTCCACCACCCCTATCACTGAGCTGTCCACCCCCCTATCACTGAGCTGTCCACCCCCTGTCACTGAGCTGTCAAATGCTGCAACATCAAAAGCTGTAGAAGCTCTGACAGCAACACAAGGCAGATATTTTGATTACGGAGAAATGAGCACATCAGTCTGCTGCTTCTCAATCACGGTCCAGGGGCAGGGATATGACGTACTTGTATTACTTAAAGCTTATCTAGCCCCCAAAACAAAAAGCTTATATATCGCAGCTTACCAGTTCTTTGGTGTATTTAGTGGCTGCATTCTTTTCCCTAAATAGTGCAAATGACACACTTCCTGTCCAACTACAAATATGTTTTATGCTCCCCACAGAGGGCTCGAATTTTGGCCGATTTAGCATCATTCCTGATGAATCAGCAGAAATTAGACCCATGGCTGGTCTGCAAGCACCGTCTGGCTTGACAAAAGTTGATTTAAGAATAGACAGAGCCGGGTGGAAAATTGTCACAAGAATAATGATTGTATCCTATCAGATGCAGAGCTCGGCACCAGTGGCTGCCTGAATACACTTGTCGGAGTGGAGAGTCCTCTGGCGGCTGTTACGGTGGATAGTGAAATCAAAGGATTGAGCTGCGTATGGCAGCCTTTATTTGCTTCTTCCCCATTATGTAGGGGCAGTAAATTAGTAGTCTATAGAAGTTAGCATGGAAAAAAAGAGCGCATTGATAAATAAATTCAATCCACGGGAAGTGACAAGGACACTGCATTTCTGGCAATAGCAACAGGTATTTCCTGTACTTACTAAAAAGGTTCTTGGCCTAAAGCCTGGTAAGCTGCGACATATAACATTCTTGTTCTAGGGTTTGAATATCCTTTAACTGCAGTAGAGAAAAATAGGTCTTCATGCTGGCTGTGCTGTCTGGCAGGGCGGTGTAAGTCTGGGGACTGGATGGGCAACAATAGAAATCACCTATCATCTTTCATACGGTTTATGTTTTTTTATTTGTGTATTTAACCATTTTCCAAGAGGTCAGCTTTAAGTTACTTGAAACATACATATTGAATGGTCTGTCCTCCTTTTTTTGGCCTAGTGAAATTTTTAGGAAAAATGTTATTAGCCAACTAGAACATTTCACAATGAGATTAAATACATGTAAGTCTGATTATGTCAAGTGATGCTCAATCTTGTAACATGTGTAAAAAATAAGTCAAGGCTACTGGACTTGCTGTATTTTTCTTGAAGACGTTTCACTGGACATCTGTCCAGTGAAACGTCTTCAAGAAAAAATACAGAAAGTCCAGTAGCCTTGACTTATTTTTTACAGATATGCCATGACCTGGATGAATGAGAACCTTCACAGACATCTTGTAATGTTATTTTAAAAATGAGTGTATGGCTGCCATTGTGTTGTATGGAGGCCCCTCCAGCCAGTACCACACTTTTCCAAAACTGTCAATACCAAAGACCTGATACTTACGGCATATAACAGGAAAAAGGAGCAGCAAGCAAAGGATATCCATGTCTAAGAACATCAGGAGCTACAAGGGAAAGAAAAGAAGACGTGAAATCAATCTTCACAGGATGACAACAGAGGTAGTGGAAGGCAGATGGGGAAAGGCAATCTGTGTGCATCGCAGACAATACAATGAAGCATGGTATATTATGGTGTACAATGTTACTGCTAATTTATATTTACTGATACATCTGTAACAATATTTAGGTCCTGATAACAGTGATAGCTCTGGGTTTTGGGGGTCCAACATGATAGCTAGCAGAGCCTTGATCTGACAGATACGGTAACACGATTCATAAAACCAATGTAATGGCCAATAATAAAGAGATAGAAGTTTGCCCGGGTGCAGTGTATTTAAGCCAGCTGTAGAAGGCTTAGCCACGTTGCCGCACAATGGGAGCAGACTAGAGGCGGTCAGTGCCGTCATTGCCCCTTCCAGGGATTGGCAGGCCGTTGATCCGGAGCACATAACTGATAAGACAGCCGGTGCCGCCCTGTGGCTAACAATGGGCACAGAAGACTCACCTGTAGTCAGGCGGAGGGCTCACTGACAAGTGGCTGGAGTGGCCACAGGAAAGTGTCGCTCAGAGTCGCCCACACAGCGGCCACTCCATGCTCCCTGTGTTTCCCGTCTCCCTTCCCATTCTAGATGTGAGATCACGGGGCGGGTGAGGAGGGGCTGGGCACTGGGGGGGATCGCGGATCTGATTGGACGAGCCCCCCGCAGGGTGACAGAGTTAACGCTTTCAGGAATACAGAACGTTATTCATACACATTTCCTGGAAGCTGAACTTCCGCTTTTCCTGAAGTGGAGCTGATGGGGCCCGAGGCTGCGAGTTTCTATAAGGAAATACTGGGCACGTTAGAGGAGTAGGGTACGGACTAGGAGTGTGGATGTGTGGAAGACCTGTGACACGGCGAAACACTACAGTGCCCAAAGCTGTGTATAGGCGACGTTTTCAAAGTCTTTACAGGTCATCAGTTTAGAGTTTTCCTAACCCTTGAGGAGGGCCTACCCCGCACTGAAAGGGTTAAAGGAGAGCTATGGGGTCAGTGTTTTTCCCCATAGTTCTCTTAAGGGTAACGGGAGGACACAAACTAGCGTCCTCCCGTTACCCTAAGCTCAGTATACTGCAAGCTGTACTGAGACGCCGCAGTATACCGCAAGCTGCTGCTCGCGGTATACTGAGACGCCGCAGCTGAAGCGGATCCCGATAATTATGTCTGGATCCGCCCATCTGCGTGACTGACAGCTGGCTCTGCCTATCTAGAGGCAGAGCCAGCTGTACCCTCCCCCGTCCCTTCCGCCAGTCAGCGCTGGCGGGGAGGGGGGAATCCAGCCCCACCCCTGTCACGGCAGAGAGCCGTGACAGGATCGAGAAGTGAGCGAACGCCGGTATGTGTTCGCTCACCTCCCGATCTACTGAGACGACCTGTGACAGTTTCATTGTCACAGGTCGGCTCAGATTATGAGGCTGAGTGAAAATCACTCGCCTCATAATTCTCCTTTAAGTGCTCATTTTTGTCTAGGTTCAAAAATAACAAAGTTATACTCACCAGATCCTTGGAGCCAGCTTGCTCTTAGACCGGTCCCTTCTTCACTCCCCCTCCGCTGCAGTAGTCTATGGTCCCTGAGTCATCATGTTCTATACACAGTGTATAGGATGTGAGGACGCCAAGAGACATACCAACACTGCAGAGGAGGGGAAACAGGCTGGAAGGAGCAGGGCTGGATTTCCATTACGGGCGCCTGTAGGCACAAATGGAAATCTGTTTATCCTGAGCCGACTCCCTTACCTGCTGCAGGACCCACCGGCTTTCACATATGCAGAGAAAGATCCTGGCGCCGTTTGTGCGGCTGCCCTAAACCCCTGTCCACATCACAGAGGCATTTTACAGGGCAGCCTTACACTGAGGTCCTTCCCCTGCGTTTGCGGAAGCCAGTGGTTCCTGTAGGCGCCGCTGGTCTTTTTTTTGTAATCAGAAGTCAACTTTATTGAACATATGCATGGTACAATGGTACAGGGAGGCTCAGCCTCAACATCATGACAGCATCCCCATAACAATCTGGGGTATATGGTGCATATATATAACATAGTGCATACAATATGGATAGGAGGAGGGGGTTGATCGTCTCAACGAGAAAAGAAGGGAACCGTGGCACGTCACGGAAGTCAACTTTGGTGAAATTCGAGCATGAAAAAGAAAAATTATCAAGGAGCAAAAAACAATGCACCATAGAGGCAGGTTGGAAACGTAGCGTTCACGTCAAGTTGTTTTTTACAACATATCTATCGGATGGGATAGAGGCACTTACATTTGGCATCATTTCTTAATACACAAAAACAGATGTATATGGCTAGGTAAGTGGTCGATGTCTAAGAGAAGAGTAAGGATAGGGAGGGAGAAGGCAGGCATGGAGCGGGAAGGCGGGCATGAGGGGTGGGGTGTGGGAGAGACGAAAAGGAGAAAAGAAACTAGCAGCACGGAAGAGCCAGGGGGTATGAAAGATGGTTGTGGATCAGGTGCCTTGGGCGCGTGTCTAACGAAACCGCTTAGGAGGGCGTTGCGTGCATGACCTGATGGTAGGCATCCGTACCTTGGAAGAGGGCCCATGGTCTCCAGGTGGACCGGAAAAGCTCCTCGGTGTTCCGTAGCGTAGAGGTGAGATCCTCCAACAGATATGTTTCGTCGACCTTAGTGAACCACGACCTAAGGGTAGGGCAGCTAGTTTGTTTCCATAGTAATGGAATGCACTGGCGGGCAGCATTCAAGAGGTGCCGAGACAAGGATTTTTTATATTTCCCAAGAGACATATTGTTTAAGTGCAGCAAACATGCCGTGGGGTTGTCTGTCAGATCCACCATTACCAGGTCCTTCAGGGTGGCAGTCACCCCCTGCCAAAAAGGGAGCAGTAGGGGACAAGACCAAAAAGTATGCAATAGCGTGCCTGGGGCGGTGTGACATCTCCAGCATAATGGTGAGACGTGGGGATACATGTCAGAAGTCAACTTTATTGAACATATGCATGGTACAATGGTACAGGGAGGCTCAGCCTCAACATCATGACAGCATCCCCATAACAATCTGGGGTATATGGTGCATATATATAACATAGTGCATACAATATGGATAGGAGGAGGGGGTTGATCGTCTCAACGAGAAAAGAAGGGAACCGTGGCACGTCACGAAAGTCAACTTTGGTGAAATTCGAGCATGAAAAAGAAAAATTATCAAGGAGCAAAAAACAATGCACCATAGAGGCAGGTTGGAAACGTAGCGTTCACGTCAAGTTGTTTTGTACAACATATCTATCGGATGGGATAGAGGCACTTACATTTGGCATCATTTCTTAATACACAAAAACAGATGTATATGGCTAGGTAAGTGGTCGATGTCTAAGAGAAGAGTAAGGATAGGGAGGGAGAAGGCAGGCATGGAGCGGGAAGGCGGGCATGAGGGGTGAGGTGGCGCCGTTGGTCTTGGAGCAAGAGGGTGTATCGTGCGCAGAATTCACCCTCCCTGCTATTGCTGGTTTTGTATCTTGACACAAGATCAGGAATTAGGCAGAGTAGGTACCTCCCGGACGCCCCTCTATGGAGTGCCTAATGGTAAATCCAGCCCTGGAGGGAGCATTGTCATGGGCGGCTCAGGGGATCAGGTGAGGATAACTTTATTCTTTTTTAACCTAGGCAAAAGTGAGCACTTAACCCTTGTAGTGCAGGGATAGCCCCACTGCAAAGGTAAATAACATTTTTACCCGGAGTTGTTCTTTAAGTGCTCGTTTTTGCCTAGATGCTAAAAGAAAAAAGTTATACTCACCTGATCCTCAGAGCCAGCTTGCTCTTAGACAAGTCCTTCCCGGCCTGCTCCCCCTCTTCTGCAGCGGCCCCTGAGTGCTCATGTTCTATACAGTGTACTCCATCGCTGCAGCGGGGAAGGAGATAGGTTTCAGGAACCAGGGTAGCAGGCAGCTGGCTCTACGGTTCGGGTGAGTATAGCTCTTTTTTTTTCTAGCACCTAGACAAAAACGAGTGCTTAACCCTTGCAGTAAGTGATTAGCATTTATTGTGGTAATGTAGAGGTGCAGGCATGATGTATACATGTGCACATTTTCATGACTCGAACTGCTGGCTTTCTTCATTTTTTGTATGAGCCTATTAGGCCTGAATCCTAGAAATTCAACATTTTCTCCACAAGAAATCCGGTCTGACACCGGGGTCGGATTGTAAAGCAGGTTATAAACAGCTGCCCCCTCCCTGTGATTCTGTGTAACAAGATCACTAAACATCAGTTCTGCCTTTAGACACAATACACTGGCTGGGAGGTTGTCACTATGAATACTAATGATTGGGGGGAGAGAGAGCTCAGAAAGAGCTCAGTTGTAATCTATTCACACTGCCTTCAGAGTACAGAGGCGGCCATTTCCCTGTCCATAGGAAAAAGAAAGCTAACAAAAAACTTAAGTTTCTGTGTTCATATACATCAACTGCATATGTCTGCTTCATGTACTCGGTGTACACTGCTGACATATGATTTTAAAAAATACCTCTGGAAAGGTGAAAAAGAGCTTCAAGAAAACAGTTGCCCAGAGTTCTGTATCAAGGTGCCCATACACCTGCCGATTATCGTACGATAATCGCGGGAAATCCCATGATCGTACAATAATTGGCAGGTGTATGGAAGGCGTGCGACCGTTTCTACTGTACGGTCGCACGTCTTTTGTCTCCCGAGCAGGCTTTAAAACCCGCCGAGAATCGTACGATTGTCGGCGGGTTAGTGGCGTTCTCGGGAGACAAATGCCACACGGGCCAGTGTGCGCAAGCACACACTGCCCGTGCGGCATTGCAGTCATCGGAAGCCCGCCCCTCAGCGGGGCGGGATTGCGATTATCGCAGGTACGCTCTGCCTGTCTATGATGGGCAGATCGTACGTTTTTTTAATTACCTTACAACCCTCGCAAGACAGAAGTCTTGCGAGGGTTGTAATGTGTATGGCCAGCTTTACAGTGAATGATGGG